GCTTTTGAGAAAACATGAAAAATAATTTGTTGATAAGTTAAAAAAGCAAATTTTCTTCTTTTAAAATACTGTTAAAATAGACAAACTTTTGGGAATTGTGATCAAGAAAAAAGAGAAGGCTTGTAAATATAACCTTGATAATAAGAAGGAAACATATCTCTAGATACAAATGACTTTTTAAAAATTATAATTCTTTACAGGAATCAATTTAAAAACCTAGATGCAAAGGATGATTTGTTATAAACTCCTATAATTAATTTATGAGGTAGAAGGTAGAAAAATATTCTTTCTTAAAAAAGGAATCTGGCCCAAATAGTTTTACAGTCATGTTTACCAAACACTAAGTCTTGTACAGTAAATAAAATGTTCTAAGGCATAGAAAAAGATGGAAAGCTTTCTAATGTATTTAATAGTGCTGAAAGCAAATATGACAAAAAAGAAATACTTTGCAATAGCATCAAAATAATGAATACTTAGGAATAAATTTAGCAGAATAATTGTAAAACTCATAAAACTACAAAACATTCTTGAAAGTAGTCAAACAAATGGATCAAATAAATAAATGGAAACACATCCCATGTTCATGGATTAGAAGACTCACTATCATTAAGATTGCAGTGTTACCCAGATTGACCTCCCAGTTCAACACAATCCCTATTAAAATCCCAGTTAGCTTCTTTGCAGAACTGACAAGCTGATTCTAAAATTTATATGGAAGTGTCAGAGACCCAAAATAGCCAGAAGAAGAGCTAAATTGTTGTATTCACACTTCCTGATTTCAAAACTTACTACAAAGCTATATTAGTCAAGAATGTGGTACTGGAATAAGGATAGACATCTAGGTCAATGGAATAGAATTGAGGGTCCAGAAATAAACCCTTATTTGACTTTTGACAAGAATGACAAGAGGATTCAGTAGGGAAAAGAATAATTTTTTCAACCACTGGTGATCAATTGAAAATTAACATGCAAAAGAATGAAGTTGAACCACTATCTCACACCATATGGAAATAATAATTCAAATGAATTTTAGACTGAAATGTAAGAGCCAAAACTATAAAACTCTTAGAAAAAGCAAAGGCATAGGTGGCTCACACCTGCAGTCCCAGTACTTTGAGAGTCTAAGGTGGGAGGATCACTTGAGGTCAGGAGTTCGAGACCAGCCTGGCCAACATGGTGAAATCCCATCTGTACTAAAAATTCAAACATTAACTAGGCATGGTGGCACATGCCTGTAGTCCCAGCTACTTGGGAGGCTGAGGCAGGAGAATGGCTTGAACTCGGAGGTGGAGGTGCAGTGAGCCAAGATTGCACCATTGCACTCCAGTCCAGGTGACAGAGTAACACTCCATGTCAAAAAAAAGATGAAGAAGAAGAAAAAATATAGGCATAAATCTTCATGACCTTAGAATAGGCAGTGGTTCCTTACATATTTCACCAAAGTATAATCAATAAAAGAAAAAAATTGACAATTGTATATCAAAATTAAAAATTTTATGCTTCAATGGATATCATCAAGAAAGTTAAAAGAACCCACAGAATGTGAAGAAATATCTGCAAATCACGTATCTGATAACAGAGTTGTACCTAGTATACATAAAGAACTCTTACAACTCAGTAATAAAAAAATAGCCCAATTAAAAAATAGGCAAAAGATTTGAATAGGCATTTCTCTGAAGAAGATATACAGTAACCAACAAGCACAGGAAAGATACTCATCATTAGCTCTCAGGGAAATACCAATTAAAATCACAATGATATGCCACTTCACACCCAGTAGGGGGGCTACAGTCAGAGACAGAAAGTAACAAGTGTTGATGAGGATGTAGAAAAAGTGAAACATTCATATGCTGCTGGTATGAATGTAAAATGCTATAGCCACTTTCGAAGACCATCTGGCAGACCCTCAAAAGGTTAAACAGATTTAGCATATGACTCATCACCCAATAGAAATGAAAAACTTGGTGCTCACAAAAACTTGTATATGAATGTTTATAACAGTATTATTTATAATAGCCAAAAATGGAAATGGCCAAAATGTTTATCAGTTTGGATAAAGCAAATATACTATGTACATACAATGAAATTATTCAGTCATAAAAAGGGATGAAGAGCTGATGCATGCTACAACATGAATGACCTTTGAAAAACACTATACTAAGTGTGAAAGGATCCGATCACAAAAGATTACATGCTATATGATTCCATTTATATGAATTGTCCAAAATTGTCCAATATATGGAGACAGAAGAGAGATGAGTGGTTGTGTAGGGATATGGATGTGTTTCAGGGAAATGGGGAATGACTGCTAATGGTTGTGTAGGGTTACGGATGTGTTTCAGGGAAATGGGGAATGACTGCTAATGGTTGTGTAGGGTTACGGATGTGTTTCAGGGAAATGGGGAATGACTGCTAATGGTTGTGTAGGGTTACGGATGTGTTTCAGGGAAATGGGGAATGACTGCTAATGGTTGTGTAGGGTTACGGATGTGTTTCAGGGAAATGGGGAATGACTGCTAATGGTTATACAACTCTCTGAATATACTGAAAACTATTGAATTCTACATTTAAAATGGGTAAATTATATAGTATGTGAATTATATCTCAATAAAACTGTTAGAAAAAGTAAACAAAAAGGCTAAAACCCAGTAAATTTTATTTTTACTTTTACTTTAATATCTTATATTGATAAATCAAATCAGCCATGTATTAAAATAATATCGGCTGGGCATGGTGGCTCACACCTGTAATCCAAGCACTTTGGAGGCTGAGGCGGGCGGATCACCTGAGGTCGGGAGTTCAAGACCAGCCTGACCAACATGGTGAAAGCCTGTCTTCTTTATTAAAAAATAAAAATAAAAAATGAAATAATATTATTAACCTAGAAATACTAGGAAAACTGATCATAAGTAACCATATTAGTATAATTGGAGGTAAAGATTTGGAATTTAATATGTAAGAATTTAACATAAGGATTCTGCTATTTCAGAGAAAAAAAGGAGAGAAGCGTTTGTTAAAATGCACGCATTGAATGAAGAGACCCCCAAACGGGCTTTGTGTGAGCAACATGGCTGTTTATTCACCTGGGTGCAGGTGTGCTAGGGCCGAAAAGGGCGTTAGTGAAGGGCGGCGGGATGGGAGTTGGGTTTACAGGTTGGGCAGGACTTTAGGCTTTCTGGGTCTGGGCTTGCACACGGAGGCCTGACAGTGCTCACCAGCCAGTAGCTGCATAACCCTGCGTATCCCAAATCCACGCACATCCAAATGACAGGTTTCTTTTTTAATTAACTTCTATTAGAGACAGGGTTTTGCTCTGTCTGGAGTGTAGTAGTGTAATCACAGCTCCCTGTAGCTTCAGGATCCTGGGCTCAAGGAATCCTCCTGCCTCAGCCTTCCAAGTAGCTGGGACCACAGGAGCATGCTGCCATGCTTGGCTAATTTTTAAATTTTTTGTAGAGATACGGTCTATACATGTTGCCCAGGCTGGTCTAGAACTCCTGGCTTCAAGAGATCCTCCCACCTTGGCCTCCCAAAGTGTTGGGGTTACATGTGTGAGCTATGTTGCTCAGCTTAAAATGACAACTTTTTTTTAATAATATAAAAAAATTTAATTAAAAAATTTTTTTCTTTTTTTTTTTTTTTTAAAGATGGGTTTCACCATGATGGCCAGGCTGGTTTTTGAACTCCTGACCTCAGGTGAACCACCCACCTCAGCCTCCCAGTGCTAGGATTACAGGCGTGAGCCACCACGCCTGGCCAAAATGACAACTTTTAAAACCCTGGTACAACCAGGGTCATTTTCAAGAGTTCCCATTTAGTCAATAAGGTTGGAGAGTCCTTGAGAGTCTCAGAAGGGAAGTGGAGACCTTGCATCTCTCATGTGGAGGTGAGACAGTGTGTCAAAGAAAAGCAGACATCATAGTCAATAGCCAGCTGCCTTCCAAAAGCTCTTTGAAATGGTGCTGATAACATACATTTAAAAGTTACATTGTGTCATTTTGTTGAGACTTTTCTGTAATAACTACAGACATGAAGCACCATTATATTCCAAAGAGACCGATCCATTCCTCCCCCAGTACACCGGTAAATAGATGACACAGCTCTGTGTCATCTCAATACATGCATAAAAGCATTTGATTTTAATTGATTACCTGGTTCTCTTCTCCAAGGACACCCCGCCCCCTGTTTTGTTTTTTCCACAGTGAGGGAGGGGCCAGCGACCACAGTGTGGGAATTAAGGCTTCATTTTATATTATCTCATACCATTTCTGGAAATGGGATGACACAGAAGTTTTTACCTCTCATTTTGGGGATAGAGGAGTGACCTTTCCAAGTCCTAAATTTATGCTGATATTTGGAATGTAATAATAGTTTATCTGAATTCTTTTCTTAGCTCACTTTAATATAAGAGCTACTTTATTGATTCTATTACTCTATTAACTGAGCCATCTTTTTTAATATACAATATACCCACATCATAGTCTTTCCATCATGGTGTGTAATTCCAAACCAACCATGCCCTTACCTTACAGGGCTGTGGGAAGGTCTGACAACAGCTATGCTGGGATGTAAACCTTGGTGCTGTGTCCTCATAGAATTTTACTTAATTGATATAATGTACTTCATGTTTCATCAGTTTCTTACGCCACTGGGTCTACGTTTGCGAGACTTTTACATTTGACCTTCTCACTTTATTGGAAACAATTTCTGTACATAATGGATTTGCGATGCTGGTGAAACAGCCTCACCTGAGATTCAGGCTCTTTTTTTTTGAAAGGATTGGACCTCATGTAAGCAAACAGACAATAAATATTCATGTGGCAGAACAGTAAGAGCTTGCGTTTGGTGAGTATGCACTGTGTACCAGATCGGGGTTAAGTGCTTTACACGCAGTATTTCCATTATGATCTGGCCGCATTTTAAATTCAGGACCACAAATCTCAAACGGGACGTCAGTGCCGTACTTTTTTTTTTTTTTGAAATTTTTTATTTTAGCTCTCTTTGGTTCCACAACTCTTCCATCCACTTTGTGTGGCCTTGCATTCATGCTTGCATCCACGTCCTCCACAGTTGCACACGTGACGAACCCAAAGCCCTAACGTGGACGTCAGTGCCATACTTCTTAATGCACCTCCTAGGATGTCCTTTTTCTTACTCTCCGCAGTGACGATTTCATACATTTCTCTCTTCAAAACTCAACTTTCCGCCCATGTTTACTCTCAGCTGGTGACCTTGCCCATACTTTGTTGAGAAAATAGAAACAATCAGATAGAAACAAACATCGTTCAGCCACCAGATCCCCAAATTTCCCCACATTTGTATCCCCACTCTCTGCCTGTGACTTGTTGCAGTGGACGAAGGGTCCCTGTTTTTCTCTTCTGCCCTCTCAAGGATATTACTCCTGTAGATGTCCCCTTTCCCTCCTGCATGTATAATGTCCCTCTCTCTACAGTATTAGTTCCATCAGGATGCAGATATTTTCTAGAATCTTGCATCTTAACAAAAGCAACAACTTCCCTTCACCTTATATCCTTACATTTCCAGGCCCCATTTCTCTGTTCTTCTTCCAAAGGGTTGTCTGTAGTCACTGTCTCTAGCCAGTGCTTCTGACCCACCTTTCCTCCGCCCCACCAAACAGGCTTCTGTCTCCACTGCTGCACTGAGCTTATTCTTACCCAAGTCGACTTGATTTCCATATTGCCAATCCAGTGCCATTTCACTGTCACTATTTTACTGCACCCTTTCCACAGTGTTTGACAAACTGAACTCTTCTCTCTTGGCTTCTGTGATAGGACCCTCTCTTGGTTTCCTTTCATGTCGTTGGTCACACAATTTACAAGTCCTTTGCTGGCTCCTTCTCTGCTCAGCCACTGCCAGTGTGATCACTGAGAAAGAAAGTAAGCCATGCGATGGTGGTTTCTTGGAAGCCAAGGGAAGGAAGTGTGCATCCTAGAGCCTGGGTTTGGGAGGGGCCGACACCAGCAGAGGACAGTTGAACACAGTGGCCTGACAACCTCAGAGCTGTACTCAGTGGTATCATGATGTCAGGATGAGGGGGACAGGGCCAACGTAGCGGAGGAAGCTAGTTCCAAATCCTGATGAGACCAAGGAGAATCTCAGATCATTTCTGTTTGTGTAAACTTGGAGGCAATAAGCCACCAGCAAGAAGAAAATGCATTCAAACTTCCCCTTGAGTTAAAAAAAATGATAAGGAAACTATTCTACAGCAAAAACATTTTTGAGAAAGGGAGGCAAAGGAGGACAATTATGTAAATACAATTGTTTAATAAATATGAATAAGTACTAAGCACTTCATTTAGGAATGAATACTTCATGGAGACAGGGTGAGAAAACACGATTTTGGGTTCTTTTTGGTTCTGAATTAATTTTTGCAGTTTTCTTCTAATTATTGGAATGACATTGGCAATTTGATAAGAATGCCGTTAAATCTATTGACTTCTTTGTGCAGCATGGACATTTCAACAGTACGGGTTTTCCCAGTCCATAGCATGGCATGTTTTCCCTTTGCTAATATCGTCTGATTTTAAAGCAGCGTTCGGTAGCTCTCCTGTGGCGATCTCTACCTCCTCAGTTAAAGCAGAGCCGGGCGCGGTGGCTCACGCCTGGAATCCCAGCACTTTGGGAGGCCGAGGCGGGTGGATCACGAGGTCAAGAGATCAAGACCATCCTGGTCAACATGGTGAAACCCCGTCTCTACTAAAAATTACAAAAAATTAGCTGGGCATGGTGGCGCGTGCCTGTAATCCCAGCTACTCAGGAGGCTGAGGCAGGAGAATTGCCTGAACCCAGGAGGCGGAGGTTGCGGTGAGCCGAGATCGCGCCATTGCACTCCAGCCTGGGTATCAAGAGCGAAACTCCGTCTCAAAAAAAAAAAAAAAAAAAAAAAGGCAGCGTTCTGTAGCTCTCCTGCGGCGATCTCTACCTCCTCAGGGCTTTGTTTTGCTTTTCCGCGTGGCTGTCACACATGGGATGGTGTTCTCGAGCTGGCTCTCACTTGAACGCTATTGATATACAGAAATGCTACTGATTCTGTGTCCTGAAATTTTGCCGAAGTAGTTTATCAGGTCTAGGAACGTTTGGGTAGAGTCTTTAGGTTTTCTAGGTATAGAATCATACTATCAGTGAAGAGAGATAATTTGACTTGATAATTCCTCTTTTCCTATTTGGATGCCTCTTATTTTTTTCTCTTGCCTAATTGTGAATTTTAGGCTTTTAAAATAATAACACTCCTTAATAGAAACAAGAGAATTTGTGGAGCTATCAGGAATAATAATGAGTTTGGAGGGCAATGTCATTGCTTTTTGGAGTATAATTCCAAAATAAATAAAGGATCCCCAGCAATATAATAGACACTATCTTCAGTAGAATTTTTTATGATAATTGCAGAAAGGGATTTCATGTACCTCTTTCTCATAGGTAATAAAGAGTGAAGACCTTTACCCTCTTACAAGCAGCTGTGTATTTATCAAAGCTACCAGTTCAAAAGCCAACTCTGACTTTTTAAAGTAAACACATTATTTTCTGTATAATTGCTATAATTAACTGTGGGGATATCACTGATCCATTAGCAGGAAAAACATAAGGAATGAGATTTGTCTTGATGCTTGAGCCAGAAGGTTATAAAGTTACACGTGGTCAACCATAAATTCAGGCACCGTGTTGTGTAGCTGGGATGCTAAGATGCAAATAGCGGCAGAAATGCCACAACCAGTCCATGATCTTTTAATTACTAAGGATGATAATTTTAGGTATCTTTAAGTCACCCAATTAAAAAGTATGGAGATTCCAAAATCAGTTCAAGCAATCTTTTGAGCAGATTTCAGAGCAAAGCAAAGTAATTACTCTTCTCCAAATCTATTCTACTCTTTTAGCCATGTTCCTGCAGTACTGGAGGAAACCTGGGGCCTCTTCACACTCTTCTTTTCTCCTCTCTGCTCTTTCTGCTTAGTCTCTGAGTCTGCCTCCAATTCCCCCACCTACTTTCAGCCCCACTCTTGCCCTGGGCCTGGTTTGGGAGGTGGTTAGAGAACAAGCCTGTATGAAATACTAGAAATGTGGAGGAGGAGTGGGACTCTGGGGCTTGCTGCCCAGTGCTGCCTCAGGCCTCTTCTCCCCACATTCAGTTGCAACACTCTTCGGTCCCCACAGGTGTGGCTACAGTGGGCCCGGGTGTGGCTCAGGCCACCTCTCTGGAAGGCACAGGTGTCCATGTGGTGCTAACTCTATAGGTACACAGGGAGTATGAGTTATGTGCACATGGCTGCCTACACCTGGATTTCAATGGATGCCCTGAAGAGCCAGGAGTCTCGGGCAGAGAACTGCCAGAGGGGTGTGGCCATGACAGATAGCTCCACTAGGGGAGTGCTTAGTTGTGCCATGGAAGCAGAGCCACCCCTGAAACCCCAGAACTATAGAGTCACCAGTGTGCACCTCCAGTCTGGGAGAGCTGCAGGCGTGAGACTCTAATGTCTGAGAGCTGTGGTGTGGGCTGCAGCCGGGCTGTGGGGGTGGTGTTGCCTGGAGCCTTGGGGGCCCAACTCCAGTGTGCCCAGGAGTTGGGCCGTGGAGTTCAAGAAGATTATTCTAGAGCGTTAAGATTTAATGTTATTTTCCCTTTTACTTGGGACCAGTTCTGTTTTCTTCCTGTTTTCCTCTTTTGGAATGGGAATGTCTATCCTATGCCTGTCTACCATTGTGTTTTAGAAGTGCATAACTTGTTTGATTTTATAGGCTCCCAGCTGGAGAGCAATTTGCCTGAGGATGGATTGTATCTCACCCATATCTGATTTAGATGAGAGTCTGGACTTTAGACTTTTGAGTTGGTGTTGGAAAAAGTTAAAACTTCTGGGGCTGTTGAAATGGAATGAGTGTATTTTGTATGTGAGAATAACATAAATTTGAGGGGCTAGGAGTGGAATGCTGTGGTCTAAATGTCTCCCTCCAAAATTCATATGGAAACTTAATTGCCAATGCAATAATATTAATAGGGTGTTTAGAAGGTGGTTGGGTATGAGGACTCTGCCCTCCTGAATGGGATTCATGCCCTTATAAAAGGGCCTGAGGGAGTCTGTGTGTCCCTTCATGCTCTTCCGCCATGTGAGGACACAGGGAGAAAGTACCATCTTGGAAGCAGAGAGTGAGCCCTTGGCAGACATGCCTTGATCTTGGACTTCCCAGCCTCCAGAACTATGAGAAATACATTTGTATTAATTGTAAATTACCCAGTCTAAGGCATTCTGTCACAGCAGCAGGAAGAGACAGAAACAGGCTATGTGTGCCCCTCTCCTCTGCTTCTTCCGGCTCTGCCTGTCTGTCCTTCATTGAGGTCTACTACTACGGATTGTTTTCTTTGTTGTTGCAGTGAGTGAAAATGGTGAATGGTTTGAGTTTCCTGTCTGGATTGATATGGTACAAGACAGAGGCTGCAACAAGGAAGCAAAGACCAGAAACCGTTGATCTCTAAGTATGAATTCATATGCTTTTTGGAAGGACTTTGGGCTTCACAGAAAATAGAATTAGGAGTTTGAACCAAGTGTAGGTTCTAACGTAGATTTTGAGTGCCATGAAGCCTACCCACCTCAATCATCTGGGTTATGCCAGGATATTCCTGGGCTCGGAAGAGGTCAGGGACACGATAGCGGTAACATTTTGAGCTGAGCATTCTTGAAGAATTGGGCAGGATTTCAGTATCACAGGGAGGTATTCCAAGAGACTGAAAGCAATGTGGTAAGATACAGAGTTTAACAAGGTCTTAGCTTGAAAAGTCTGTGACCCTTAGAGGACAAATCGGGACCTGCCAGGATCCAAAACTCTGTAGGTTACAGTGCAGCTCTGACAATGCTTGGAACAGGCTTTCCAACCACATTTACATTTGCCTTTTGAGTGTTAGATGAGAAGTCCATTTCACCTGCAATCAAGGAAGAGTGGGGGCCAAGGGAAGCAGAATCCTGACTGTTTCAAGCCAAAAGGGGTGACTTACTCCTTTTTTTTTCTTTTTTCTTTTTTTTTTTGAGACGGAGTTTCGCTCTTGTTACCCAGGCTGGAGTGCAATGGTGTGATCTCGGCTCACCACAACCTCCGCCTTCTGGGTTCGGGCAGTTCTCCTGCCTCAGCCTCCTGAGTAGCTGGGACTACAGGCACGTGCCACCATGCCCAGCTAATTTTTTGTATTTTTAGTAGAGACGGGGTTTCACCATGTTGACCAGGATGGTCTCGATCTCTTGACCTCATGATCCACCCGCCTCGGCCTCCCAAAGTGCTGACTTACTCCTTTGTCATCAGAAAGTTCAGTAATCAGTGGGCACCAAGCTGATGTCTAGCTGAGTGACGTCAGCAGAAACTGTTGTGTCCAGACAGTCAGCATTTCAGCAGCTCAAAGTGATGAGCTTGGACACAGGAAAGAGAATAACCGAGTCATTTAAAGACAAAGAGGAACCTCAGCCCAGTAGACCTAGACGAACACCCCATTCACCACCAGAGTGTCTCTACAAAGACCCAAATTACAAATAGGGTAAAAATGCTCATTCATAGAGTCTGTCCACAGTGGAGCATTCTTTACACGTAGCCTCTGTTTATCAAGCAAAGCATGCTTGCCTTGCCTTCCCATTTTAAAGGCTGTCTTTAAAAGCCTTTCTGACTGCCCAGTGGATTTGTCCTGAAGTGAAGGCAATAGCAGAGAAGAATAAATCAGAAAGGACAGGCTCTGAAGTTGCAAACTATTGTCATTACTAGGAAGCAGAAAAGGGCACGTTGAAGATAGAAGTACAGTAGAAAACATTTACTACGACCACTGGCTACGAGTAGCCCTCTTACCTTCGATTAAGTAATTACCACAGTGCTCAGTGAATGAGGACAGCGGTTACATGCCTTATCATCCTGCCACCTCACCACCATGCTTCGTTCTTACGGCAGGTCGTGGCTCTAGGCCAGCAGTGTTCCTCGTCGTGTGGGATGGCATATAGAGAAGGTGGCTTTCACAGCTCTGAGGCCCTTAGGCGCTCAGCCTCGGCTCCCACACCTCCCTGAACAGTGCAAGGCTGAGTAATTGGCACACTTGAAGGAGCCATCTGGGAAGTGCCAAGGGCATGCCAAATTTTTCTAATTGTGGCAGGCTTCAGACTCTCTGGGCTCGTGGAAGGTCTTAATAATTAACAGATGTACAGATGCTCAGAGCAGTTTTCCTGCACAAGTAGGCTTCACGGATGTTCTTGGGTTGCTGGGCTTGTAAGCTGCTGCCACCCCTGCCTGGCTAACTTTGAACACTGTAAACATAGAGGCAGAGCTGGATAGAGGAGGAGTCTGTTACCTCGTTCACTTGCCTCACAATGCCATGTGGCTCTTACCTCTGATAGCAGAAAGATTGAACCTTGCCCATTTCACAGATACACTTGATTGGAAAGCCCAAACCTCAAGGCAACCCACTGGTTTATTGCTGGGCAGGGATTAGCTCCTGTCCTTTAGAACTGAAGTTAAAGTAGCTGGATAGTAAGTAGACATCCTCTCCCTGGCCTGGGGAGGAGAACAAGGAAGACACAGATTGACAGAAACTTTTCATGAAAGGATTGGCACAACACACATCCGAGGACTGAATTCACTTTTGAGGGTCACCAATGGGTTAGGAGCTCTCTGGATTACCTCCCCACCTCTGCCCTTCTTCTGTCTGCCCTTTACACGCTGAGTCAGATCTAAAGAATTAGCACTACCCCATACAGGGGTAGGGATAAGAACAAGCTTGAGGGGGAATGTGAGTCATCAGAAGCTCGCTAGCTCTTCTGTTAGTGGCTTTCAAACCTTTTAAGCCACACACCCCATCAGTAAAAACTGTTTGACCATATACTCCCAAAATACATATTTATTTATAAATTATTTACATGTACCTACTCTCAGCTATCCACATTTTCTATTTTTATTTTTATTTTTTTATTTTTTGAGACGGAGTTTCGCTCGTTACCCAGGCCGGAGTGCAATGGCGCGATCTCGGCTCATCGCAACCTCCGCCTCCTGGGTTCAGGCAATTCTCCTGCCTCAGCCTCCTGAGTAGCTGGGATTACAGGCACGCACCACCGTGCCCAGCTAATTTTTTGTATATTTTTTAGTAGAGACGGGGTTTCACCACATTGACCAGGATGGTCTCGATCTCTTGACCTCGTGATCCACCCGCCTTGGCCTCCCAAAGTGCTGGGATTACAGGCGTGAACCACCGTGCCCGGCCCCACATTTTTTAATATTGGTAAATCTTTCAGATTAAAAGAAACAAATAAAAGTTCTAATATTTTCTTTTACTTGCTCCTAATTGACCATCTTCTATACCCCATGCGTAGACTAGACTCCACTTTGGAAAACTGCTCTACCCTTTGTGTTCTCCAAGTTCTGGTTTTTTGTTGGTTAAAGGAGGAAGGGGAGGGATCCACTCAGAGAAAAAAAGGGATCACGACTGCACACAGGAGCTATGTTCAGATAAATCCACAAAAAGAACGAGCACTTCAAGCTCTACTTGGTTTGCCAGTGACGGCGGGAGAAGGCAATGGTATTCATGAACTCTATGTTGACTCTCACTCAGCCCAGAGATGGTATTTAAAATGGCACGGCTTGATGAAGCCAAAGTTGATGCTGTGTCTTGTCGGGCCTCATGGGTCATGAGAGTCTGGATATACATGGGCTTGTACCAGACTCTGGGGAGCAGGTCCCTGGACCAGTCATTACTGCCTGGGGTTATATCACCCTCTCTGAAGGAGGAGTGAAGGTAAAGCAGAGGTTGACAGAGCCTCCTGGTCCTTCATCTTGGTGTTGGAATTCCTCCCACACTTCAGTTTTGGGGGACCCTCACCCCCAGTTTCAGGATAGGCATGAGAGAGACTGTTCCCCTGCTGTGCATGACCTTCATGCAGTTCAGGCACATGGACAGAGGTAACCACAGCCACCCTTGGTGAACAAAACTCATTTCAGCACCTGCTCTGTGCCAGTCTCTGTGTGGGAAAAATGGAACCCAGTTCCTCAAGAAGCTCTTGGGCCAGTGCAGGAGAAAGATACGCAAATACACACGGAGAGCAGGGCATGTCTTAGTCTGGGTTTTCTCCCAAAGCACACTCTGAGTTGAGTTGTTCATTTGGGAAGCAATCCTAGGAAAAATACTGAGGGTGGGTGAAGTGAAAGAAGGAAGGGAGGAAAAGTCGCAAAGGAGGCATCAGTAAACAGGCCGTCACTGTGGGAAACCGGCCTCCATTCCTCAGGGGGCCCCTTGAGGAACTCTGTTGAGCCTTCCTGCTCAAAGTGTGGCTGGCAGCATTGGCAGCACGTGGGAGTTGTCATCAGTGCAGCATCTTAGGCTGAAACCCAGACCTGCTGAATCAGAAGTTGTTTGCACATTAAAGTTTAAGAAACAGTGCCTTAAATCTTGCATCTTTACCTAACATAACAATTTTGATATAAAACATTTTTTAAAAAGTATCTTAAACTTGGTTTCACTAAGCTGGATACTTCTGATAACTTTTTTGAGGTTTCTAGTATTTGAAGTGCATATGTAACTTTCTCAGCCCCAAGAAAGCTATTTAAAATGCAACTCCATTTACCTGCACGTTATCCTAATTACAACTCAGTTGTAGAGACAGAAGGCTCGCACAGCCGACTGTTCTGTAAAATGCAAATTTTACATGGGAAGCTCTTTCCCTAGGAGAAAAATAGAGCGGCTGTCATGTAAGAAGTGATTTTTAAAGAAACACACCAAATGTCTCCTGTACTTCAGTGCGTTTTATCAAAATTTCAATGATTAGAATACCCTTTGTGAAAGATCAATACACATGACTTGGATGTAGCTGGACTGTCTTTACTGTCTTACATTTCTTGCCATCTGATGGGAATGGGGTGTGGGTGGGAAGATGAGGAAACCAGAATTCTGGCTCGGGAATGCCTGCCTGGAGAGGATTTCACATGGTCTACCGGCGTTGCTCTCTTTACCCTCCTGCTCCTGGTCTGTGTTTGACCATTTAAATGTTAGCTTGTTTGCTCTTAATGTTTAGCAAACATTACTGTGCCAGGCACACTAATGGTAGTTGTCAGCATAAAATGAGCAATCGAGAGACTGACTTTCCAAAGCAGAGTTTATTTGGGAATAGCAGGAGACTGCAATCCAAGATATGCATGCTGTGAAGATATACGTGCTATGATGGATCAGAGGTACCTCCAGGGGGTTTAGGGAAAGGGGAAAGCTTTTAAAGACACAAAGGAGAAGTCCACATAAGCTGTTTTGAAACAAGGACCATTAGTTATGGGGGCTGCTGCAGGAGTTGGCATTAGCTTTTTGGTGGAGACAGCTGGTGTGAGGCAAGTGTCCTTGGGCAAGTGGCGTATGTGGATTACTGCTTTATATATTAAGAGACTCAAATATGTTTAGCTTTTTGATATGGTATGAAAATGAGATGCTGAAGTGTATATACTGTAAAATTTATGTTCAACAATTAATGTTTCAGTATTTTGCCTTACTTGGAAATGATCTAGATTTAAAATTTAACTTAGAAAAACTCTAAGGGTAGGTTACCAAAGAGATTTGGGACTCTGTTAAAAGCAGACATATTATAAAATATAATTATTGTTAAGAAGTACATTTATAAACTTTTATTTCAGTGACATGTATTTAATTCGTTCAATGGCACATGCATGTCAGGCAGTCGTGACAAAGCAAGAACCTTACAGTTAAGTACATGAGTATTGTTGACAAGTCAGAAGACACCAATGTTCTCATTAGACTGACAATTTTAAACTAGTCTTAGTTATTAAAGATTTACTCAAGTCATGTAAACCTGAAAAGCATTTAGGTGAGTTCCTATATTTCTAGGAATTTCAGATATACTCATTTATCTCTAAGCCAATTTGAATAAAAAGCCTTTGATATTTGTAGAAAATATCTTTTTTTTTTTTTTTAAAGACAGGGTTTCATCATATTGGTCAGGCTGGTTTCAAACTCCTAACCTCAGGTGATCTGCCCGCCTCAGCCTCCCAAAGTGCGGGGATTACAGGCATGAGCCACGCGCCCGGTTGTAGAAAAGATCTTTAACATTTTTCATTTGCTCTATATTCAGATAGTCAAAAATCACGCCAACAGAGAAGACAGTGGACAGAGAGGCAGAGCAGATGGAGTTCGCGGGGCTTTTAGAAAAGCAATTTCAGTTGACTAAGATGTTCCCACAGGAGAAGCAAGATTTAATAGAGACAACAGAACGGCCTTGAAAAGTGTATGCATAGCCTGAATATTAGCTTCCGATTGATTTCTGGCCATGGAGTTCCTTAAAAAATCCCCCCAAATATCTTATTACCAGGTTTCATCCGTGACAAACAGCAAATATTCCTGGCCGTATTGAACTCTTTTGTTTTCCTTTCTGAGTACACGGCTTAAGAGAGAAAGCCAAACAAACAAAAATACAATTCAATTCCAAACCGAAGGTGGAATTCAAACTCATTCTTCCAGATGTTTCCTGCCTGAGAAGCTTTGCATTTCAATTTTATGCTGTGAAGGATAGGCCGTGAGTGGATGTGTGTATGAAAATCTTGGTCTGCAATCCCACAGAAATTTCATTCGGATTAGTGGTGGAGGAGTCAGACTAGTCAGATACACTGTCTTTCTGAGAGCCTCACAAGACCTGCTTTTATAGACAGGAATGATGCGTGGTTAGTATACTAGTGACCTTATGCAAATGGCGGCTTCCTCCTCCGGGGGATGCATCTTTTTTTCCTTAAGAGGAGACACTTTAACGGTTGAAGCCGCTAGATATTTACTCCTTCACAGATTAGCTGTTGAGGACCAAGAATAAATTTACCCCTTTTCTTCTTTATTTTAAATAGGCCATATGTTTTTATACTCAAAGCTTAAATGGCACAAAATTGGCTATGGTGACAAATTTCCCTTTCACCTTAAGCCACTGTCAAAGAGAAATTGCACTGGATACTTTTTAAAAATGGCAAGACAGATTTTATTTGAGCTACTGCAGTAGGGAAGAGAGACTTCAGCGTGTAACCGAAGTCAACTCTGAATATAGCAAAGATGGCTGGGGACTTTTAGCCAGTGGGCTGGATGAGGAAATCAGTGGATAGAAAACTATTAAGAGGAACCTGATTAGATATTAAGGGTGGGGGTTCTTACTAAACTGACTTGCAAAACTGGTGTTGGCAGGCTAAGGACAAGGCCTAGTTGAGAAGGGGACTCAGAGAAGCCTGACTAATTTGGTCAAGGAGGGAGTCCTTGTCGCCAGCCAGCAGTGTTCCTCTTTGTGGACAGTCACTAATAATGTGTTTTTTGTTTTAATAACCTGAGGTACTTTCTTTATATTAAATTATGGTAGGAAAAGTCTCATTTTAACCAGATGCGATCCAGTCTTACTATTAGTTTAGGGAAACTTTGGTTCTAGAAAATGCTGCCCTGTTCACCAATTTCATTTAGGGCCTAATTTTCTTGGGTATAAAGTGGGGTTGCTGTGAACTTCCTCAAAGATTGTAAAGCTTAATTGATGTATAAGGACTCAGTAGTGCATGGCACATGTCAGGCATCTAATGATGGAGACTGCCCTTCCTCCCTTTCCCTGTTGCCAAATGGGGATGTTTTCCCAGCTTTTCCTGGGCCTCTAGTTTGAACCACAAATCTTGGTGCCCCAGCAGTCCTTGGTGCTTGTGATGGATACCTGTTTTCCTGCCATGTGTCTTCCTCTGACAAGCTGCAAGGGAGTTAGTGCTGCCCACATGCTCTGCATCTCCATTCCACGCAGCTGCCCAGCAGCAGTGTCTATGGCCCGAGATTTCCTAAGTGACTATTCTCAACTTACAGTATGCGCCACTGCACTCCAGCCTGGGTGACAGAGAGAGACACTATCTCAAACAAAACAAAACACAGAAACACTGAGGTGGAGCCCAGCAGTCTGTCTTTCAACACGCTGGAATGTTTGCTGTTCCTGAGATTCCTTCGATAAGAATCTCCGGAAAGATGCTGACGCCCACTCATGTTGCTATACTGGCTTTACTGCATAAAGCCACCAGGCAGAGAAGGCTCTTGGCTTCTATTTATTTATTTTATTATCTATTTATGTATTACTCATTTATTTTAGGTTAGTGGAAGGTTCATATTCCTATTGAGGGTGACAGGGGTCAGTGTGGGCTTGAGTTTTCTGGGCATGCCAGCCTCAGAGATGTAACCACCTCCACTGAACCTGCGGAAGATTGAAAGTCACTGCTTTCTGCTAAGCGACACAATCCCCCTAGAGGTTGACGGGGCTTCTCCACTGATGTCCAAGTTTACCTCCAGGATCTAACCCAGAGTTCTCCACCTCACCACTATTGACATTTTGGGTTAATCTTTGTTGTAGGGAGCTGCTATGGTTTGAATGTCACCCAAAGTTCATGTGTTAGAAACTTAATCCCCAATGCAATAGTATTGGAAGGTGAGAATTTAGGTCTTGAGGGCTTCACCCTTTTGAATGGATTAACATTGTCATCATAGGAGTAGGTTCATTTTTGCAAGAGTGGGTTTGTTATAAAAGTGAGTTTGGGCTTCTCTTGCTCTCTCTCATGCTTGCTTCCTTACCCTTCTGCCTTCTGCCATGGGATGACATAGCAAGAAGGCCCTTGCCAGATGCAGGCCCTTTGACCTTAGACTTCCCAGTTTCTAGAGCTATAGGAAATAGTTTTTCTTTATAAATCACCCCGTCTGTATTATTCTGTTATAGCAACACAAAGTGGACTAAGATAGGCTGTCCTGTGCATTGTAGGGTGTATAGCAGTAACCCTGTTTTGTGCCCACTAGATGCCAGGGTAGCACACCCTTGGTTGTTACAATAAAAAATATCTCCAGACTTTGTCAGATACTCTCTGGGGGGCAAATCACACTGTACCTCCCTTTGACAACTGCTGGTCTTAGTTGGGCGACCACTTGAGTGGAGGCGGGCACTGGGAAATCCTGTGGTCAGGACAACCTGCCAGGAGGGGAGAGCAGTGTAACTGGAAGGAAGGCTTGAATCCTGGCCGTCCAGTCCCATGACTTCTTTCCCTATCCCTACTCACTCCTAGTCTCCCTTTACCAAAAAATTGCACACATACGATTTTTATTTTCATAAATGACTTTTACTTTATCATTTCTCTTGACAGTAATTCTTGGCAATGTGCATATAACATGAAGGGAAGCATAACTTTCAGAAGTCATCAAAGGTATTATCCTGTTGTCCTCATTTTCTTAAACCATTAAAATATTTTCATTTATAAAAATTAATCTAAATATAAATATTGACACTAAAGATCAAAATCACTTGATGACAAAATAATTCTTCTGGAACTATAACATATGCTTATGGTTTTTAATAGTAAATTAAATCTTTGCACTTATTTGGCACAAGGAAACCTTTATAAAAGTTCAGATGCCACACAGCAGGCTGCTTATTCTTCTTTTTTGTTCTTTTTGTTTGCAAGGCTTACACAGCACACATTTTTGTCAAAGAAAACTGAATATTTTTAATACTGTAACACAACAATAGTTGCTTTTCATGCCTCTTAAAGAAAACGTTCTATTTGGAAGTCAGATCTTTTTTGTTGTGTTTTTAAAATTTGTTTTTGTTTGTTTTGCTTTGAATCACACCAACAGAACAAAAAGCCGAAGATTTACTTATTTCAAAGGAGTCACTTCTGTTAGATGACACATAACACAGCATCAGCAAGGAGTATTATTGGAAGATAACGTAGACCCTGTCAGCAGTGGGTCAGAGCGCACGAATCAGCAGCAAAGCAGATCTGGAAATGCACATAGCGACAAAGTAACGCAGAGGCTGAAAACAACACAGAGTTAGGTTTTGTGATGCATTCCAATAATAATTAGCGTAAAGGTGTGGCTTTGGCAAATGAATCTCTCTGGCCCTCAGTTATGAAATCTGAACGGCGGGAACACCTGTTGAATAACATTGCCGTCAGGATTAAACGAGAACATCGCCTCCTTCGGAGCAGGCACTGAACACACCTCCATCGTAACTATTCTCTCGCCTCCTTTACCTTCTTCCTGAGGTTCAGAGTATATCAGGAACAAACATAAAAGAAGGTTGTTAGAGCCCAGTTGAGTGAAAGCCCAGTTCCATTTGCCTTTATAAATGGCTCTCAATAGTCATGCATTTGATACGGGCTCAAAAAAAAACCACAGAAATGGAGTGAGAGTCAACTCGTGTGTCCATTAAATACACAGTCGGTTGTTCAATTTTTTATATCTATGAATTTTCTAAGGCTATTCCTTAATCATTTTTTATTTTACGGTCATTTTGCTACTTTGCTGAATATTTACTGGGAAATAAATTTTGGAGGACAAAAATGTTCTCATGGTTTTTCTCTGCAGTGATTCATCTACCTGAACTCCGTTTAGATGTGATCCCTGCTAACCCACATCATGCCGATTCTGACAGTGCTCTACAGTTGGGCCAGTGGTGTCTTTCTCAAGCCCCTTTCTCCTTCAGGGTGGGGAAACTGTCAATAAGCCCATGGAAGAACCCTAAATTCTTAATGAGACATTGTTTCAGAGAGACCTGGGCATGGCATGGCTGAGTCAGAACTTCTCATCCTGTGGCTTGTGATTGCAAAGCAATGGGAATGACTGGCACTGCGGTAGGCTAAGAGCTTAGCAGGAAGGAGGTGGCCGAAGGAAGACCTGCAGACTTGACGGTTGAGCAATCCCAAAATTAGACCGTCCCTAGTGCTCACCGCAGGGACTCACTTTTCCCTTAGGATTTGCAAGATGAAGATGCTTATGAGAGATTAATAAGCATTAATGATGCATTAAATGATAATTCCCACCTTCCTCCCTCTACCCTCTCCAACAGTTTTCCTTTGGACAAACTGTTGACATGGAATACTAGCTGAATCAAAGGGCTTAAAAAAAGATCTTAAAGTCAACACATAGTCGCAAAGCAAACAGGAAAATATGGAGCTCTGCTGTTGGAAGCCAGTGTCTTGGTTTTCTGTCTTGGATTCCCCTGGGAGCCTAAGGCAGAGAGTGGGCAAGACCGCAATGCTGAAGTCTGAGACGGCTTTCTGGGTGAGGTATCAGGACAGCCCTGTGCAGTGGTGCACTGTGGCCTCCCCAGGCCTTCTCCTCAGGTGGAAATCCATACAGTACTCGATGGCTGTTGGGTCAAGGCACTGTCGTGTACGGCCGGAGGCAGTGGGTCACTGGCAGTGGAGTTCCATGGCATCAGTACATCACAGCTGACTCCAGAGCAGGCTCCTGGGGTGAGACATTGAACACACTCTTATCAGCCACTTGGGAAGAGTGAGAAGAAGCAATGAAAAATAATGTTTACTGCTTTTTATACTGAAAGCTATTCATGCTTATTGACCAGTTAGCTATTTTGCAACATTTAAAAACTAATGTCATTTTTAAATGCATACTTCTTAATCCACCTGAAATTAACTCTGGTATTTGGAATAAGGTAATTATCAAATATGCCTTCTTTCCCACTACCATCCCAGTGTCCAGTATCCCAAGCACAGCGTTCATGTTCGTTTGATAATCATATCCTCTCTACTAGTTTCTAAATCTTTTACAAAGATAATAGAACACATTCTCATATGTGCCTGTATCTACTTCTGGGCTATTATTTCATTAGTGGTCAGTTTCATTTCAGCTTTTGTTTTAAAATCTGGGAGGAAAATCTCTAATTTTGTAAAACGCTTTTGTTTATTCTTTCTGATTTATTATTATATGAACTTTGATTCAAGGAAAATTTTAGAGTTTTTTAATGAGAATTAATTAAGCTACAAATTAATTCAATAAGAAAGAAATGACTTTTCTTATTGAACTGCTGATGTGATTTATTAAAATCCACTTATGCCTAGTGTTCCATTATTGGAACACTAAGCATGTGGAGTTATTTATGTCCTACTGCTCAAGGTCATCATCAAAGTCTGATATTTTACTCATGCCAAAATTCAAAAAACTGCAACCCCCAGCATAAAAGGGGTAATTGACATAAAAATATTTAAGGTATCCTTGCATTCCCACAAAATCTACCTGTTATTTATTTACTCATTCATTCTTAGAGACTGGGTTTCATTCTATTGCTCAGGTTGGAGTACAGTGGTGTGATCATAGCTGACTGCAACCTCAAACTCCTCGGCTCAAGGGATCCTCCCCTTACCTCTCCAGTAGCTGGGACTACAGGCACATGCCACCATGACTGGCTAATTTTTTATTTTTTGTAAAGACAGGTCTCTCTATGTTGCTTAGGCTGGTCTTGAACTCGTGGCCTCAAGTGATCCACCCACCTTGTTCTCCCAAAGTGCTGAAATTATAGGTGTGAGCCACCTCGCTTAGCCTACTGTAATTTGTTATTGAATTCACTGCTCTTTAACTGGCTAATACTTTATTTCACATTCTTCATCTCTGAAGTACAACTGTTATAACAATTTTCGTGTGTCTGTGCATGCCTGTGTGTGATGGGCACAGAACATTTATACATACTTACCAGCCATGGATCAGGCTTTCATGATTGGGGTTATGACAGCTTCACAATGTGAATCTTTTCGTTTTCAATTTTTTGATGACCTGGACGATTTTTTTTTTTTTTTTGAGACGGAGTTTTGCTCCTGTTACCCAGGCTGGAGTGCAGTGGCGCAATCTCGGCTCACCGCAACCTCCGCCTCCTGGGTTCAAGCAATTATCCTGCCTCAGCCTCCCGAGTAGCTGGGATTACAGGCACACGCCACCATGCCCAGCTAATTTTTGTATTTTTAGTAGAGACGTGGTTTCACCTTGTTGACCAGGATGGTCTCAATCTCTTGACCTCGTGATCCACCCGCCTTGGCCTCCAAAGTGCTGGGATTATAGGTGTGAGCCACCGTGCCTGGCCTGACCTGGACTATTTTATATGGTATGGGAATTAACTGTTCTTTAAAAATTTATAGCAAAATCATTTGGCCACAGAATCTTTCTGAAAGGTTTTTAAATTTCTTTTTATTTTTTAAGTTTTTGCTATTTTTCTGATTTGATTCTGATTTGACCAGTATTGATTCTAAATTTATGAGAATGGTTTTACATCACACTGTATATTTTTATAAAAGATTGACAGGCCGGGCACGGTGGCTCATGCCTGGAATCCCAGCACTTTGGGAGGCCGAGGCGGGTAGATCACGAGGTCAAGAGATCGAGACCATCCTGGTCAACATGGTGAAACCCCGTCTCTACTAAAAATACAAAACTTAGCTGGGCATGGTGGTGCGCGCCTGTAATCCCAGCTATTCAGGAGGCTGAGGCAGGAGAATTGCCTGAACCCAGGAGGCGGAGGTTGCGGTGAGCCGAGATCGCACCATTGCACTCCAGCCTGGGTAACAAGAGCGAAACTCCGTCTCAATTAAAAAAAAAAAAAGGACATCTTTTTATATAATCTTTTGTTTTATTTTCAATTTTTTTCTTCATGTGACTTACAAAACATTTCTATTTCTTCTAAATAACCCCTAGATTTAGATCTAGAGAGATCATTTCTGCAGTTTGTGGTCTTAATGAAATGTTTTTGTGTTTATTTTTGATGTCTGCAATTCAATGTCTAGTTAATTTGTTTTCTTTTCTAACGAGGAATAAAATATTTAATACTATAAATCTGATGCCGTGTAGTTTTATACGTATCTTATTTGCTTTTATATACGTAATGTTTTCATTTTGTAAGTGCCCTGTGGAATTTTCTCTCCAATTCAGTAGTTACTTTGAAGTGTGTGTGTCTGTGTGTGTGTGCGTGTGCATGTGTATGTGTATGGACTGTTGGGTATGTGAGTACAAGCGGTTTTCAACTTCTAAGTAGGGTTTCTGTTTTTTAACTTTTGTTCTAATTTTTTACATTGGTCCTGTCCAGCATGGTAGCCACTAGCCACATGTGGCTGTTTACATTCAGATTGACTAAAATTCACTAAAATTTAAAAATCAGTTTCCCCAATGCAGTAGGCACATTTCAAGTGCTCAGTAGCCACATATGGCTGGTGGCCACTGTGTTGGTCACTGCAGATATGGACCACTGCCCTCATTACACAGTTACATTAGATGGCACTGCTCGAGATCATGTTTGGCGCTGTGATCACAGAGGGCTTACTTCTTGGAATTTATTGAGGTATTCTTTGTGATTTGTGTAAAATCAATTTTTATAAATGGTCCATTGATGCCTGGAAAGAGAGTCAATAATCTATACAGTTAGATAAACATCTTAACAGTTACCCTATTCAGTTCTCTAATTTGTATGTATTTATGGGGCACTTGGGCTGCCAAAGGCTGAGGAGAGTTTTAAAGTCACCAACCATTGCACCATAAATTGTGTTGCTCTGTTATCTGCCAAATCAAGAAAGGCTCATGACTTAGTTTATTTTATCAAAATTAAAATATATTTCCTCCTTGTTTTCTCTCAATGCTTTTTATCTAAAATTCTCCTCTCTTTGAAAGTAATTATTTCTGCCCTATTTTGCTTTCATTTGTTTAGTAAATATTGTTGCTGGGGTGCGGTGGCTCAAGCCTGTAATCCCAGGACTTTGGGAGTCTGAGGCAGCTGGATCACAAGGTCAGGAGATTGAGACCATCCTGGCTAACATGGTGAAACTTTGTCTCTACTAACAATACAAAAAATTAGCCAGGTGTGATAGCACACGCCTGTAGTCCTAGCTACTTGGGAGGCTGAGGCAGGAGAATCACTTGAAAACCAGAGGTGGAGGTTGCAATGAGTCGAGATCACACCACTGCACTCCAGCCTGGGTGACAGAGTGAGACTCCATCTCAAAAAAAAGAAAAGGAAAAAATATTGTCTATTCTTTTGTTTTTAACCTCTCTGTGTTACTTTAAGGTAATTTATTTTTATTAAACTTACTGGGGTGAAAGCCACACAAAATAAACCATTCTAAAGTGAACAACTTGGTGGCATTTAGAATGCTCACAAGGTTGTACAACTACCATCTCTATCTAGTTTCAATGAACTTCTGTCACTCTGAAGTCAAACCCCTTACTCATTAAGTAGTTTCTTCCCATTCCCCTTTCTCACAACCTCCAGCAGCCATCAATCTATGTCTGTCTCTATGAAAGACAATTTATTTTTAACTTTCTTATTTATAACCAATTCCTTCCCTGACCCTAGTGGTCTGCCCTTTTAGTGTGATAATGCATCTTTTTCTGCTCTGTGAAATAATGGTCAGAAGCAAGGGAATTAGACTTTGCAAGGTCAGGGTTAATGGCCGACCAGTGAAGAGAAGGCAGTGAGGAGAGCTATTGTCACATAGTGCCCAAGAGTAACCTGTAATTAACAAGGATGTGCCCACCATTATGCCACTACCTGGTGCTTTTGTGCTCATGAGACAGGGACAATGATGGGGAGGAAAAGGAAGTGAGGAATGGGTGAAGGCTAAAAGAGAACAGAATGAATTTGTCCCTGCTTCCTTCTAGTCATCTCAGACATGATCTGGCCTCCACGTAACTGGTGCCACGGGACAGCTTAGTTAGATGCTCATTTGTTCTGCAGCAGCATCAAGCACTTGCCAGAATTTTGACATGTATGTTGGTTTTGTGAAAGGACAACAAACCTGAGGGTTCCCAAAAATCACTAAGCTAAAGGGAACAGTCAAGCTGGGAACTGGGTCATTCAAACCTGCCTCCCCTTTTGATTCCTAAATAAGATGGCTACAAGATCAAAAGCTACACATGAAAATTCCTAGTGAGCTCCAGGATCTTTACCCTAAGGTGTCTCTGTTAAAATTTCACCATGGCAATGTAAATTGATAGCTTACCTTTATAGGTGCCCCCCTGCCCACCAGACAGAAATGCACATCTGATTGTCCCCCTGCCCCATTTTGTCCATGTTATCTTATATAAAGATACAGATTCTCTGCCTTTTCCCTCTGCCCCATTTGTCTATGTTATTTGATGTTTAAAAAAAAAGGCAGATTCACTGAGCCGGACAAAGGCATGAATGACTATTTCTCTCTACCCCTCTCTTACATGAAAATTGTGTACTTCTCAACATCCTGCCTCTTCCCCTTTAAATTTGGAGCCCTTAAAATCATCTTTGGAGTGAGGCATACACCTGTCTTCTGCAGGTGCATCCTTAACTTCGGCAAATAAACCTTGTAAAATGATTGAGACTTGTCTCATTTTTCTCGACTGACAGTTTTTAAGCAAAAGATCCAACAGATTTCTCTGAATAATTTCTAGAGTTCATGCAAATTATTTGCTTTCTCTTCCTTTGCTACATTAGGAGTACAGGAACACAGTGCTAATGGCTAATGAGAAATTTAAGGAAGAGTGAATATGGATTGAAAACAGAATAAAAACTCCTACACCTCAACCAGACCTTAATCTCCTATTTACATATTTTTATTTCTCTGATATTAAACCTGCTTTCTACGAGGAGCTGGAGAGACAGTTGAGCAAACCCACATATTAAAGAGATAATACCAGGCAGGACATTGTTTTAGAACCCTGTCCTTACTGCCAAAGGAACAGTTAATAGCGGCTACACCACTCGGACGTCCTGATCCAACATCGAGGTTGTAAACCGTGTTGTGGATACGGACTCTGGAATAGGACTGTGCTGTTATCACTAGGGTAACTTATTCCACTGATCAAATTATTGGGCCAGCATATATTAACTTGCTTAGACTAGTGTGGTCTTAGTTTAGGTTGTTTGGAGATTGAATTATGCTCCAAGGTCACCGGACCAAAATTTTTAATGCAGGGATAACAGGCTAGAGCCTGTATGCTTGAGTTTTCATTTGCATGCATAAATTAAAGCTCCATAGGGTCTTCTTGTCTTATTTACATCCACCTGTTCTCAGACAGGTCCATTTCACCGATTAAAAGTAAGAGACAGCTGAACGCTCATGTGGCTATTCACACAAGTCCCTGTTTAGGGAACAAGTGATGATGCTACCTTTGCACAGTTAGGATACTGCGGGCCGTTGAGCACGTCACTGAGCAGTCAGTGCTTCTAATACCGGCAATGCTAGAGGTGGTGTTTTTGGTAAACAGGTGGGGTATGATTTGCTGAGTTCCTTTTACTTGTAGTAATCTCTCCTTAGAGAACACCTGTGTTAGGCTGACAGTGTAAATAATAGGGTGCTTATTATATCATTTATTAATATTAAGCTGTGAACTGTCAGTGGGTTACTTGGATCTGATGTGAGCTTATGCAATGAAGAATGTCTTCATGTTACTTATATGGACACTGTTGCTTCTATTAGGTAATAGATTAGTCCAATGTGATGTTAGGAGTTCAGTAGAGTGATTAGAATTTAAGATGTTAGATGTTGAACTGAAACACGTTTTTAATTGGTAGGTGCTTTTGGGCCAACTATGGAAGTAATATTTTTTACTCTCTGTAGGAAGGTTGTTCCCTAGGGTCTAAAGAGCTGTCCATCTTTAGACTAACAGTTAAACTTACAGGGAGATTAAGTAATTCTGTGGGTAAATTTAAAGTCGAACTAAGATTCTGTCTTGGACACCAGCTATCACCAGGCTCAGTAGGCTTGTCACTGCTACCCATGAATCTTCCCACTATTTTGCCACACAGGAGAGTGTGCTCTTTCAGCTGTTCTTGGGTGGCTCGTCTGCTTTCAGGGGACTTGGCTATAGTTCTCTGTGTAAAGTTATTTCTAGTTAATAGATTATGCAGAAGGTATAAGGGCTTGTCTTTGCTTTTTAGTGCTCGACACAGTTCCTTCATCTTTCCCTTACGGTACTATGTCTATTGTGCCGGGGTAAAATTTTCTATCGCCTGTACTTTTGTTTAAGGTAATGGTTTGTTTAAGATAGTTTGATAATATTTTCAGTGAGATATGGGGCTGGAGTTGGCTCCAAGTGATCAGGTCATGATGAAATCTTCTGTGTATAGGCGAGATGCTTTGGGTTAAGTTACACTTTGGTTTGTCCAAGTGCACTTTCCAGTACGCTTATCACGTTACGACTTCTCTCTATACATGTGTAGAAAGTTATTAGTAATAGTGATTTTTAGTGCACCATTTGAGGAGGGTGACGGGCGCGGTGTGCATGCTTCATAGCCTTATTCAACCGAGCACTCTGCTCTTGGTTTACTGCTAAATCCAACCCCCAGTCAAATCCAACAGACCATAAGACCATCGAGGAAGTATACTTTTTGGGGTTCTGATGGGGGAGCTACAGAAGGAAAGGCTGCAGAATGGAGGTACCCTCAACAGTGAAGGGGATGAACATGAAGACAGAGATGACATTTACCATCAGATCCTTGGTGGTGATTTTCCTTTCTTTAGTCCTGTTTTTTGAGGAGCCTTGGAGAATGTAGTTGCGGTTAAATGTTTTAATGGTGGTCACTGAAGATGTCTCATTTTTTTCAGCTAAAAGGAAATAAATGGGAAAAAAAATGTTACCCAGAAGATGGACGGACCAATTGTTAAGGGAAAAACAAGGTGGGCAGATTCCTCAGACTTTGGTTCCAGACTTGCCATCTTGTTCCTGAGCTGTGTTTGACTATGGGACCTTTTTGCTTTGTGTTTATTTTTATGATGGACAAATCAGTTAGGGACATTGTTGAAAGCTTTCTGGGAAACATCAGCTCGGAGACAACCCAGGACAGTTCAAAAATACTTCTGTGCAGTCCTGAAATAGAAAAGGTTCTAAAACTTGCAATTTTTTACAACATTGGGGCCAAAATAGTCTGATTTCAGAACCTGGCCTGAACTGACACGAGGCCATTTATTGTCCCTGTCCATCTCACAGAGTGCAAATGTTCTTATGCTCTGCTGTAGGATATTCATGTGTTTGATTTTCAGATGCTGCCCAGATGCCACGGGGGTGTTAAGACATATAAAGCACAGGTAGTGTATTACCTTTCTAATGTCCAAGAAATTAGGAAGCACATATGGACCCAAGGGTTTCAAATGAAGGATTGTGGATCTGTGATAAATTTTAACTGCACACAGTTTTGTAGTTCACAAACGTTCAGGAAATGTTTGTTAAGTGACCAATGCAGAACCAAGGCTCAAATGCACATCTTTGGACTTTTGCTCCTGTAATTTGAAAATCTAAATTCCTAGTTTGGCATCATCCTTGTGTGGCCTCTGAGCCCAGGGCATTGGCTGAGAAGTGCCCATGAGATAAAGGTGATGTGACCGGCATTGCTGGAATCCTTTCCGGGTTGGGCACTGTGGCAGATACTATTGGTGTTCTGTTCACTTCTCCCTGACAGTCAGCATTCTAGCACATTCCAGCAGATCCTACTGCAAGTACTGCCACTCTGTCTTGGTTCATGCATGGGGCAGGTAAGAAGTACCAGGGAGTTACTGCCCCCAGAAGTAACTCTCAGCCAGAGATGGATGGGAGTTCAAGAACAAATACCCCAACTCCCCGCCCTTTGGGCAGAAAAATCAAAGGTGTAGCCAACATTGTCTCCCAGAGGTCACCAGGAGGACTTAGCCTTATTTGCCCAAAGAAGTAACCTCTAATTCAAGTAGCCTGTATTGATTGAGTTAATTTCTTTCTGTGAATCCCTTCTCTTCTTCTCTACCAGTGTTCCCTGGAATCACCTCCTAAACCAGCTACTTTTGCTCCTATCCTTGTCCCAGGGTTTACTTCTAGCGGGGGACCCAAGTTATGATAGACAAGAGCAATTCTGTGTGAGAACCCTCCGTTAGATCTAATTCTCAAACTCGGGTCTCTCAGTTACCCAAAGTAAATGATCCAGCCTTAATTCTTCTGTAGCGTTTTGGTTTTAATTTAGCATACCTGCCACCGGTGGAGCAGGCAGTTTCCTCCTTTGCTGCCTGGATGTGTCTATGGTTTGTACCTACAAACAGAACACAGTGAGCAATATACCTTTGTAGAGTGAAAGATAATTTATCGTCTAAGTTTTCCAAGCCATGTAACACTGCAACAGAGGGAGAAAGGGACAAACACACCTGGGTCCTCTGCTTCTGATTCCGTCTTCTTGTGAGGCTCACACATGGTGCTATGTTTAATCCTGCAATGGTCAGGGCTGAAATCCGGCTCTCAATGTCGGAAATCTTAAAGCAACAGAAAGACAGGATTGGCAGGGAGAAAATACAGAAGGGAAAATATTTGTTAAAAGTGTTAGGAATTTATAAAGACAAATCTGCTTTGATGTATGCTCATTCATTCATTCATTCATTCAACTTCTACCAAGCACTTCTCTATCAAGTGTGTAGCAAGAAAACAAAACACAGGTCTTTCTTTATAAGTTTATAGTTTGTTAGCTCTAGAGCATGTCAACAACCCTGTCAGGGTATGCCTAGGGATAAATGAAAGCCTGGGGGCACAATGGGGGACCCTGGCCCAGGGCCACGTGGCTCAGCATAGGGGTGAGGAGCAGTCAGGGAAGTGAGAGAAGGTAACATTTGAAGGATAAGTTATGATTTACATGTCCTGCTTCCTTCTTCTGTAACTTCATGAATCCAAAACCACAGCACCAGGTTTTAGAAGGGAGGCCTAGCAGCCCCTGGTTCAAGTCCGTCTCCTCCGTTAAGATGCTAGCCAGCCCTGAGAAACTGTCTTCCCTCTCTGGGCATCATTTTCCTAATTTACAACATGGGAAGGTCAAGAGAGAGCTCAGATTTCCTTTCAGCAGAGTCTGAATGCAGAAATAGAAAGTAAGGACCCACTTAATGCCCAGAGAAAACCCTAGTCCTCCCCTGTCCCCATGGATAAAGATACTGTCCCTGCTCTTAGAAAAGGTAATCATGATGTGCCAGGCACCATGCTACATGTTTTAAATACATAAGCTCATTCATGTCTCAAAATAATTCTATGAAGTAAGTACCATTATCTTGGCTTCACAGATAAAGGAACTGTGGCTCAAAGGGATAAGTGATACACCCATCATCTCACAGCCAATCTGGGCAGTGCATGGAATTCATGTCAGTGGCCATGCTCCTGTCACATTGCCATAGTCTCAGAGGATGTGCCAAGGCCTAGCATGGGGAACACTGGAAAAGGCAGGGAAAGGCTAGCAAAGCCAAGGGAAGAGGTCAAGATTCTACTGAGATGGTACATTCTTATGTTGCTAGGGCATCAAACGATAACCTTATGCTAGACCCCAGCCAATGTGTGTGCTCCATGCATGAAGTCTCCACTGCCTCCCAGCCCTCCACAATTCTGTGCTACTCAAGACAAATTGGAATTCTGCTGTCATTTATTGAGGGTTTCTTTGAACAAAGTCTACTGAGGTAAGAGGTATAGGAGGTGCACAGAAAGACTGAAGGGTCAGCATATTTGGGAGATGCTTCCCCTACCCCTGAGGGGTGGCAGTCATGCTCAGAAAAGGAGAGGTGGGTGAAGGCCAAGTCTGTGGCAGCTGGTAAGAGAACACAAGCTACTCAGTAGCCGGCCCCACAAGTGCCATTTGAGCCCTGCCCTTCCCGGCCCCCAGATGCCTTTCTGTTCTGAATCTTCACATTTCACATTAAGAACTATATTCTGTGGTTTATGAACCGATAAACTGCACAAGCCTCTGAGAAAAGTTACAGGCTAAGCTTTTATCAGTCTTTAGCAACTGGTGTGGATTAGATGCTCACATTCTTCCCTAGAAGCAGTTTTGATGGAGGGCCTTGCTCAGAGGGCCCCGGGAGAGACAAGGTCAATGGGAGAGCAAGCTGCTGACCTCTTCATTTGTGGACTGTCAGGTTCTGGAATAAGAAAGGCTGAATTTTTCAAGTTTCAGTCCATAGGACAAAGGACAAAAAAGCAGGAGACTACTGAGGGCTGATTTTGCCCGTATCTTGTCTCTCTATGATTATGTCCCACTTCAGTGATGTCACTATATAATTATGTCCCACTTCTAGAACTGCATGTCCAAGGAGCCATACTTTGCTAGAAGGGGATGACCAATTCAGCTCTGAGTTTCCTGGGAGCCAAAGCCAACAGCTCCATGTCCACAAGATTAGAGACCAGGTACTCAGAAGAGCAGCCTCTCCTGAACTAAGAGTTAAGAGAGGCTTTCTCCAGGAATTCTCCTAGACACACCCTTGCATGATGCAGTGGACAGCATCCTTAGCCTGCTTCCCAAGGGCTGGTCTGCAGTCTCTTTCTGGGCAACAGCACCCTGTCTCAGAGGTAAACTCTAAATTGATAGCATCCTTAGAATCTGTTATAGCCCAAGAACACAATTTAGCATGTACCCTCCTCAATGGGGACCCTCCTACCATCCTGCAAGGACTCCTCTGTGACACTAGACTTTGCATGAGAACAGATAACAGGGAGTTGGGAGGCTTCACTCCCTGGCACCGGTTAGCCAGGTGGGGAGAATTTCCGCGTTCCTGGAAGTGCAGTTGAGATAACCTGCAAAGCTGAGAGCAGGGTCACCAGCCTCCCATGCAAATTAAGGACACCTAGGCCAGTGCATGTATGCCTGAGGGGAGGACCAGCACATTTCCCGGGAAATTGCACAGCACAGACTGGTTAGGAATGTGGGCTGTTTGGTGCGGTGGCTCACACCTATAATCCCAGCAGTTTCCGAGGCCGAGGCTAGTGGATCACTTGACGTCAGGAGTTTGAGACCAGCCTGGCCAATATGGTGAAACCTCGTCTCTACTAAAAACACAAAAGTTAGCGGGCATGGTGGTGCGCGCCTGTAATCCCAGCTACTTGGGAGGCTGAGGCAGGAAAATTGCTTGAATCAGGGAGGTGGAGGTTGTAGTGAGCTGAGATTGCACCATTTCACTCCAGTCTGGGCAACAGAGACTCCATCTCAAAAAAGAAAAATCATGCGCTATGAGGTCACAAAATCTGGGTTAAAATCCAGGTTTTATCACTTTCTAGATATTTGACCTTGGGCAAATTTCGTCAGATATAAAAGGAGAATGGTAGCAGCAGCTTCCTTACGGGGTTGCTGAAAAAAATAAATACAATAACGTGGTAAAGCATGAGGATAAATACCTGGTACAAAATAACGCTCGCAGAGCATTGGGAATTACTGATAACGTTATTGTAATATTTAAAAATGAATGATAAATTAATAGGCACATTTAAGCACAGAGAAAATGGACATTTGGAACTCCAGAGTTTTCTGCCCATAAAACATGGCTCCAATAATTTAAGTCTAGAAAAATGTGGAAGGAGGAATAACTAGTTATCCAATAAAATCCTCCCAAACACCCATAAATATTACTTCCTGCAGTCATTCAAGAAGTATTTGCTCTGCAGTGTAACAGAAAATAAGTGATTTGATTCTACTTCATATAACTTTGACAATACATTAAGTCGGGTGAAATTTACGGGAAATAATTTCTTTTGAGAGAACTGCTGCTCAGCCATTCTTACTGATAGTAGTCATTGGAGCCAGCTGTCTGCTGGGCTTATTTCTAGTTCACAGCATTAGCCCATCCAGAGTGGGGAACTGTGCCCTTTCATTCTCTAGAGTGGTTAGTGATGTCAGGAGTTGTATTTTTGACTCAATAAAGTGAAAATATTTACTTTTAAAATAAGTATCGCCTAAGATTGTCATCTTCCCTGTGAAACAAAAATAAAATCTCGGGACCCCCCAAGACAGAGAAGTTAAGTTTGGAAGCTGAGTCACAAACGTACCCCCCATCCCCCGCAAAAATAAGAAAAAACCCTGCCTTTCCTTTTGTTCCTAAACTGATAGCTACAGGTAGAAGGCCACATGTCTTCACAGGGGGCCTCTGTCACCCTGACAATGTAAATTAACAGCTTATTTTCATGCATACAGGACAAGAGGAAACTAGAAATTGTCCCTCATCCACCTGAAAATGAGTGGATATTTGACTGCTTCCTCTACTCTCTTTTACTTTTACTTTGTCTTATGCAAAGCACAGATTTACTGAGTGCAAGATGAATATGTAATTGACCATTCCCTTTACCCCTCCTTTTCATGTGCAACCTACAGATTCACAAGAATGTGACCAAACTCTCCCTCTTTCCCTCCACCCCTTTCCACTCCTCCCCAATGTTCCCCTTTAAATATTGAAACCCTCAAAATCCTGTTAGGAAAAAGTATGAGCCACAGATCATACTGTGGTTTCTCTTTTTTTCTGTGTGCATCCTCAATCTTGGTGGGGGGGGGGGGAAACGCTCTAAAATGACTACGACTCACTTCAGTCATTTTCTTTGATTTATGTCTCTATTCAGATATGGTTTCTGTTGACCACAATTCTCCCGGTGATTCAGTTTTAAGATGCAGGAGCTATAGAAATATCAGCAAACCAGGGGTCTATACTGAACTGAAGCTGCAGAGACCAGTGTCTCTCAAACTTGAGTAACACATGGATCCCTTTTAAAGAAAAAAAGGGTCATGGGTCCTGAGAATATATCTGCAGACCCCAGTTTGAAAATCAGTGGCTTAATCCATGGTCAGTTTTGATTTACAGAGTCAAAGGTTAAGGGACTATCAATGAAAACTTCAAACAGCCATCTTCACAAAGTTATGGAGACTATATCAATCAGTTCTAAATAGCTGTGTCTAAATCCTGCCTGCTCCTCACGAAAAATACTGTCCTGAGAAATCTATATGCTTCCAACTTCCTTCATTTATCCACCCTGTTTTTATTGTGCTAAAGCTGTGCCAGGTATTGTGCTAGGCACTGGAGTCACATGTTAAGCCACACAGCTACAGTTCTATTCTCACAGAGCTTTCAGTCTATACTGGGGAATATTGGCACTAAGTGATTAACAGTGTGATAAGGGTCAGAAAAGGATGGCCTTGAAGTGGAATGGAAACCTGTATAGTAGAGAGACCTATGTATGGGTCAGGAAATTTCTCAAAGAGGAAACTGGCATAAGGCTTTAAAGGGCAGTCTCATATATATTATCGATGCTTTAATTTGAGGCAGAAGAGGACTATACTTTTCAAAGGAGAATTTGGTAGAATCCATCTGGAAGGACCATATCCATGCAAGCATGGTGGAGATGATGAGAGCTGGCAGATAAAATGGCTTTAAAGTGATTCTTGTGGAACATGGGGCTCCCTCTTTCACCCTGCAGGACCCCATGTGGGCAAAGAGGAGAGTTCTCACCTGGAGTTCAGCATGGTGAACCTGGGCTGCAGCTGTGGCCACCTGGTCCTCCAGATCTGCCAGATGGGTCTCCTCAGTGCCACTGTGGATGGAGCGGGCGGCATCTTCCAGCTCAGTCAGCTGGCTCTCCAGTCCATACACAGTGCCTGCTGCCAGGTACACCTGTAGAGAGAGTGCTGCATTTGAGTTCATGTCTGCAGACCTGGGACTGGTTGGAGTCCCTTGAGGAGATGCTGGCAATTCAGGAGAGTGAGAGAGAACTAGGCTAACATTGCAGAGGGAATGTTATTTTTATAACATTTATAAACATTTTTCACACTTACATGGTAGTGTGAGGTTTTGAAACCCCCCACTGTCAACCACACCTTCCCTCCCCCACCAACTTTCCAGTAAGGAAAAGCATTTTAAAGTGGCTTTTGTTCAGATAGTACAAAATACATGACATCAGCTATGCAAACTGTATATTGGTCCAGTGACTAAAAAAATGACTATCAAGAAAAAACAAAGAGAAAAACTCATGATGGAGTTTTGCCAATAAGACTTTTGGTTGGCACTTAGTAATTGAGAAAAAAATTCAGAAAACATGAAAGAGGGGAAGTAATTTAAAATGATTACATCCCCATCAAGCTACCAATGACCTTCTTCACAGATCTGGAAAAAAATACCTTAAACTTCATAGGGAACCAAAAGAGAGCCCGCATAGCCAAGTCAATTCTAAGCAAAAAGAACAAAGCTGCGGGCATCACACTACCTGACTTCAAACTACACTATAAGGCTACAGTAATCAAAACAGCATGGTACTGGTACCAAAACAGAGATATAGACCAATGGAACAGAACAGAACAGGGCTCAGAGGCAATGCCACACATCTACACCATCTGATCTTTGACAAACCTCACAAAAGCAAGCAATGGGGAAAGGATTCCCTGTTTAATAAATGGTGTTGGGAAAACTGGTTAGCCATGTGCAGAAAGCAGAAACTGGACCCCTTCCTGACATCTTACACTAAAATTAACTCCAGATTGATTAAAGACTTAAACATAAGACCTAACACCATAAAAACCCTAGAAAAAAACCTAGGTAAAATCATTCAGGACATAGGCATAAGCAAGGACTTCATGACTAAAACACCCAAAGCATTGGCAACAAAAGCCAAAATAGACAAATGGGATCTAAACAACCATTAGAGTGAACCGGCAACCAACAGAATGGGAAAAAATTTTTGCAATCTACCCATCTGACAAAGGGCTAATATCCAGAATCTGTAAAGAACTATAACAGATTTATAAGAAAAAAACAAACAAATCCATTCAAAAGTGGGCAAAAGGGCTGGGCGCGGTGGCTCACGCCTGTAATCCCAGCACTTTGGGAGGCCGAGGCGGGTGGATCACAAGGTCAAGAGATTGAGACCATCCAGGTCAACATGGTGAAACCCCGTCTCTACTAAAAATACAAAAAATTAGCTGGGCATGGTGGCGCGTGCCTGTAATCCCAGCTACTCAGGAGGCTGAGGCAGGAGAACTGCCTGATCCCAGGAGGCGGAGGTTGCGGTGAGCCGAGATTGTGCCACTGCACTCCAGCCTGGGTAACAAGAGCGAAACTCCGTCTCAAAAAAAAAAAAAAAAAAAAAAGTGGGCAAAGGATATGAACAGACACTTTTCAAAAGAAGACATACATGAGGCCAACCAACATATGAAAAAATGCTCATTATCACTGGTCATTAGAGAAATGCAAATCAAAACTACATTGAGATGCCATCTCACACCAGTTAGAATGGTGATCATTAAAAAATCTGGAGACAACAGATGCTGGAGAGGATGTGGAGAAAAAGGAACACTTTTACACTGTTGGTGGGAGTGTAAATTAGTTCAACCATTGTGGAAGACAGTGTGGCGATTCCTCAAGGACCTAGACATAGAAATTCCATTTGACCCAGCAATCCCATTACTGGGTATATATCCCAAGGATTATAAATCGTTCTGTTTTAAGGACACAAGCACACGAATGTTCATTGCAGCACTGTTTACAACAGCAAAGACCTAGAACCAACCCAAATGCCCATCGATGATAGACTGGACAGGAAAAATGTGGCACATATACACGATGGAATACTATGCAGCCATAAAAAATGAGAGTTCGTGTCCTTTGTAGGGATGTGGATGAAGCTGGAAACCATCATTCTCAGCAAACTGACACAAGAACAGAAAATCAGACACTGCATGTTCTCACTCATAGGCAGGTATTGAACAATGAGAACACATGGACACAGGGAGGGGAGCATCACACACTGAGGTCTGTAGCGGGGAACTAGGGGAGGGACAACAGGGGTGGGGAGTTGGGGAGGGATAACATGGGGAGAAATGGCAGATATAGGTGATGGGGAGGAAGGCAGTTTGCTTTCCATGTATGTACCTATGCAACAATCCTGCATGTTCTTCACATGTACCCTAAACCTAAAACGCAATAAAATATATATAAAAAAATAAATTAAATAATTACAAATTTTGAGTGAATTCTCTCTGATTAATTGGTTTCTGCATGCTTGAACAAGATTAGGGGAATTAAAATAAATCTGAAATTCACAGTAGAAAAATACTTAAATTCTTAGAAAATAGTGTGATATTAAGAGAAGCATGTCAAGTCTATTTATCTGTCAGTTAGGACAGTTTTTTTGAGAGCCATTAAAAATAAGAGAGCAAGCCCAAAAGGGAAAGAAATTTAAGAAAAAGAAACATTTTGGGCTGATAAGTTTATAAGGTTATTCCCATAGAAGTGAGCAAGGTAAAATCCTTGAGATAATTCAGACTAAGGGATGTGGACCAGGGTGAATGAAACAAATGCCCGCTCACCCTAATCAGTAATGTCATGACGCAACCAACACCACACGGAATCAGATGTATCTAAAGAAGGAATGACTTAAAGAGAGGTTCTTGAGGTTTAATCAATGTATAGGAAATCCGAAACACGTAATCACAGCAATTTAGAGTTGATTTGAATGAAACACATGGCCAAGACTTTAATAGTTTCTTTCTTTCTTTTTTTTTTTTTTTAAGACAGGATTTCACCATGTTGGACAAGCTGGTTTCAAACTCCTGACCTCAGGTGATCCACCTGCCTTGGCCTCCCAAAGTGCTGGGATTACAGGCATGAGCCCCCGAGCCCAGCCAACAGTTTCTTTAACTTGAGTTAAAAATATAGCAGAGCTAAAGACAAGTCAAGAAAGTCAAGAGCTTAGGTACACAAGTCATGTGCTTTTTTTTTTTTTTTCCCACTTAGTGATGCTGTGCTGGTGAGGGAAAGAAGCCTGAGGATGTTTCCACTCTGTCAATTCCTTGGCATGATTAACTCAACTGTTTTAAAACTGGCAATTTCACAAAACATTCTAAGGTGGAACAAAGACAGGTACAGGTCTGATGAAAGCAAATTTGACTGTGCACCATCACCAGGCATAATTACCCGGGCTGTGGGAGCTTTCCGCAGTGACTGGTACAGAAGATGTCACATCCAGTGATTCACCAGTCATACAGGGGCCATGAATCAAATATCTGTTGGGAATTGCCAAACTTCAGTTGATCTTTTGTTTTCTATTCCTTTATCAGATGTTGAACATGTAATTCTGTTTCATACAGAGAAATTGTTTCTAAGAGCTCTTCACAATTTAATCATAGCCATTTATTTTTGTTTTTAAGGCAAGAAAGGGTTCTTTATTGTCATATGAAATAAATGATGAATATTTCAAAGGTATTTGAGTGAAGAAATTATTCAAACATGTGTCTCCAAATTTCTGAAGTTGTAAAACTTCCCTTCAGAGGGAAAAAAGAAAAAAAAACTGGGGTGGGGGAAGGAGGAGAGAGAGAGAGAGAGAGAGAGAGAGAGACAGGAGGAGCCAGAGCAGTTTGAAGTTTATTATACTTTTTAAATACTTTTCCTTATCTACACCAAAAAAAGTCAACTTTATATAAGCTAATTTAAAATATAAATCTACAGTTTTCCCAGTGAAACAAATTTTGGAGTGATTTAAATGAAATGAAATAATTAAACATGGCAATGGTTAAACATAACTTGACATAACTAAGGTCTTAGATTAGAACCTGGATTGTAGCAGAAACATGCAAGACTCAATGTCATCACACCCTGGGATGTGTATCAACCTGATTGCTGTTTACATCTTCAACATGTTCATTTGCTAATGCTCCTTTTTTTTCTTCCAAGAGAAAGCAAGATGAAAAAACTGCAAGCCCTCAGCAGGGCCAGAATATTCATCTTTCACTCTGTGTTCGCTAAAAGCCTACTTTCCTGGCACCAGGAGGAAGGAGAGGTTCAGTGGTTTGGCACTGATACTGGCTAAACAGGAATTTACAGCCAAAGCGATAGTGCCTGAAGGACTGGAGGAGGGTGATGATGATGATGGTGGGAACGATGGTGATGATGGCAGCATTAGGTTATCGAGCCAGTGGCTGAGCCAAGGGCTTTAGGTTGACTTATTTATGTTCATAGCAAGCCTTGAGGTACATACTATTATCATCATCACGTTCAAGATGAGAATATGTTATGCTCTAGGAAGGTTTAGTGACCTTCTGAGGTCTCACAACTGGGGACTGGTGGGGCCTGTAAGTGATCTCAGGAGGGCTGAAGCCAGTTTCCTTGCCTTTATCCTCCTTGCCCCATGATGCTATGATATTCTCGGTTGGAATGTTGTAACAGTTTGCATTTCAGATTTGAACATAGAGGTACTAGAGTTACTATGGTAATAGATGGATATGATATTGGCTCTGTTGCTGGCTTGAAGTAACCAAAGGCAACATGCTCTACGATGAAAATGGTATTCTAGCTTTATAAAGCATAAACCGTTTGAAAAATGTTCACTTGGACTTGCTTGGCAAGTGAATGTCCACTTTTGGTGAGAACGATGGTTACCATGTCTGAGTCATCTATGACCACTTCGAACTCTAGTCATTTCTTTAATGAAACACCTATTTGTGATTAAACTCTCTAGAACAAAGAACATTAAACAGATTTCTTTACTGCAGTTCTTCTGAGAGGCTTTAAGGTGCTAATATGTATCTCAATTTTCCTAAAAAGAGAATGCAAGTTTCCCAGACTTAGCTGACCTTAGAGCATGCTGTTGGATTTGGCTTTCCATGAAATATACTTTAGGGGAC